CTCCCTATGCTGTGTGTGTGTCAATACAAACAGACAGCCCAACAGCCCAGGACAGCAGGGCCCTCTGGATAACGAACCTCATGCAGATATTATGGGGCCCGCTGGCTGCCGTGTACTCAGTGAGGAGGGAGCCGGGCAACAAAGAAGAAGCCTGCAGGCACACAGGCACATCATGGGGAAGCAATGGGGCCTCGGACGGCTGTGAGGACCCAGCAAGCAGCACACAGACACTGGAAACAGCTGAAGACAGAAGATCGACCAGAAGAGGTAAGGGTGAATAATTAATTAAAACTATTATTATATGTAGCCTAACTGATGTTGTATAAAGTACTTCTGGTATTTGTAGTGATCTATAGCAGGTGCCATTTGCTCTGAATTGCTGCAATGCAGAATGGTACCCTCTATAGAGGACTACAAATACCAGCAGTACTTTATACAGCAAAGCTATTGTTGCATACAGTATTGCTGGTATGTGTAGTCCTCTATAGCCTGTGCCATTCTGCGTTGCTGTACGTGTTTTGTAGTCCTCTATGACTGATGGAATTATTCTGCATTTCTATAGAGTAAAGAGAGTACTGCTGTTGTAGTTCTCTATAGCTGTTACTATTCTGCGTTTCTGTTAAGAGTATTGCTGGGAGTTGTAGTCCCCTATAGCCGTTACATTTCTGTGTTTCTGTAGAGAGTACTGCTGGGAGTTGTAGTTCTCTATATCAGTTACCATCCTGCATTTCTGTATAAAGTATTGCTGGGAGTTGTAGTCCTCTATACAGAAATGCAAAATGGTAATGGCTATAGGTGGGCAGAGTGCGCATTGTAAGAGCCGGGGGTAATCTTGCACCAGGGCCCATTGTTCCATAGGTCTGCCACTGTGGAGGAAGATTGGCAGACTTCTGTATGGGATGGATATTTTTTTTTAGTGCTGTTGTTCCCAGTGCAGGAAACGGTATAAGAGGTTCACAGGGATAAAATGTGAAGACTAACACAGGTACCTGTACTCTACAGTATACTCTTATTACATCTAAATCTACAAGTCTATTTAAAGTGACACTAAACTCAGGAGTAACATCTCAAAAATGCATTCTAGAACCTTAAGGGTATGTTCACATCATAGGCAGTGCGTTCCGGTCAGAATCGGACCGAAACGCACTGCCCGCACGGCCAGCTCACTTTTTTTGCTGGGCTGTAGGGGGCGTGGTGGGCCATTGAAGTGAATGGCACTGTAGCCATGCCCTGCAGCCGCAATGCGATCGTACGCACGGGATCGCAAAGCACATTGTGCCTGCAGTGCATTCCGGTGCGATCAAAATGCTGCACTATTTTACGCACTGCAGGGGTGTGGTGTTCCTATCTCCCTATGCCAGGGACATGCAGTTCCGGGCAGGTACTTGTTTTCTACATTTAGCCCTGCTTTGTTCAAGCAGAGGTAAATGTACAGCGTGGAAGCTGCCGCTTGCTTTGTACAAGTGATCCAGGCGATGTCGCCGAGATCACTTGTATGCAGTCTGCAGGTCTGACATTCTCCATGGGGGGGGGGTTTGGCGGGTAGGGGGGCGGATTGAGGAACCTGGTCTTGGGCAGCAGAGAGTAAATCCAGCCCTGGAGATAAGGACCTTAGATTTTAAGCTCCTTGAGGGCAGGGACTGATGTGCATGTAAAGCACTGCGTAAATTGACGGCGCTATATAAATACCTGTGCATTGTCAGCCTATAACAGGAAACACACGCAACATTATTTTCATGGCAGGATCACCAGGTATTATTTTAATCAAAGTTGCAGATTTAATACTTTTAAAAACTTCCTTTGAACCTGCCATGTTATAGCGTATACCAAGTTTTAGAAATTGGGTTTAAAATGAATAATCAAAAGAAGCCAAAGAGTCCCTGAATAGTGTTTACCAAGTTTATTATTTCACTGACCCGCCTTACAGAATGAAATTGTTCAGGGAAGCAGAGAACATTACAGCGCAGTTACACCTTCCACCAGTTGTAACAACAAATATTTTTAAAACTTGATTTAAAAAAATAAAATAATGCTAAAATATATTCATCCCTAAAACATACTTTACAGCAAGAACTCCTTTACAATAAAAAGACAGCATGTTGTGATAAGGAAGGTACTTTGAAATCATTGAATACATCCAATTAACACTTTTTAGCTACTTTCCATAAAGTCCAGTACCTGACACCTTTGAAAATTACATATTAATGACCACAAACTCCACATACTGCCTGCCATACAACAGTACAATTTCCCAGTAAGCAAACCACTCAAATCTCCCATTGCATGATGGGAGCGCTATGTTTTTTTTCCTAGCCATGACTTTCTCAGCTACGGAATGCTAAAAATGAGTGATCACATATAGGGTGTTTGAATATTTAATCCTAACATGATTTCTGGCTTAGGATTTTTTTTTCACATAGATGGTTGAAGTTTTACAAAAACATATCAATGGATTATGATATATGGCCATTCAACTTACAAATAGTGCTTAACAGATAGAGGATATTGTTCAGTAATAGCAGCTGGTCAGTTGTTACCAACCTAATAATTATGTTTTCGGCATTCCTGTTCAAACTATTTTTTTGATATTTTATTTTTAATGTTTCCAACAAAGAAAATACATTTATACATGGATGCCTTAAAATGCCCAACTTATATTTGTGTTTTTAGAAACCGACATTGATTCCTTCAGCCACCAAGCACATTCGAGGTTGACCTGAAAGCTTGAATCTTAAAGTGACACTAAACTCAGGAGTTAACTCTTAAAAATGCATTCAAGTACCTGAACTATTAACAAAAATGTATCTTATTTGTGTATCACTCGGCTGTAGATCCTCAAATCATCTCTGAATTGGTGCTGCCACTGTCCTTCCTTCTGGAGGGTGGCTACTTATGTTCCCCATGGTCTCCATGTGTGTTGTAAAGTAGTCACCGCTCCAAGCTCACTCCCGTGATGGGCTACAATCTTATGTTTAGTTTACTCATTTGAATTGAGATTGTAGTCCATCCCCGGAGCGAGCTTGGAGTGGTGGCTACTTTACAACAGGAACCATGGGCTTTAGGCTTTATTAATCATGTGGCCCAATCAAATACTTTGCTGCATCAGTAAGATGGGACCTGATTGGTTGTCATATGTAACTTCTCCACTGTCACAGCCTCAATGGCTTATACTGTATAATATGCAATGCAAAGAGTCAGCTTTCACCTACAGTAAGTACAGTAAAATGCTGCACACACATTTGATCGACCATGAAGAGTGCTACTCTTCAGCGCTTATGTTGTAGCAACATATAAATAATTTTTTAAGTGAAGTGAATCTGTAATACCGTCAAAAATTGCAATTTTGGTGACTGCAAGAAATACAGTGAATGTATGTTATGTTTATTTATGTTCTCTTAAAGTGTGACTATTGTAAAATTCATTTATGATGCGGTCTGTGTGTAGCATTAACACAGCAGTTTTTGTTTTCTGAGTCCCTCCTGCAAAATAGTTTTTTTTATCTGTTGGTCCTGCCAGCAGATAAAAAGTGACAGTGCTGTTGCTTCCGAAATGAAATCACACAGCAGGGCAGTCACCCTGTGAACCGGGTAGTCTTAGGTGGTTGCTTTGCATGCACATTAAGTCAAGGACAACCAAATTATTCCTATAAAACAAAACAAAAAAGAGTTTAAACCATTTAGGAAAATGGTATCATTTTAAAAGAGAACTATGGGGTAAGTGTTTTTCCCCATTGTTCTCTTACGGGTCACGGGAGAACATATACTAGCGTCCTCCCGTGACCCAAAGCTCAGTATATCTCGAGCTATAGCTCGCGGTATTCTGAGACCGCTGCAGCCAGGACGGATCCTGAGATTACTGGCGAGATCCACCCAGCTGCTTGAGTGACAGCTGGCTCTGCCTATCCGTTCCTCCAATCAGCACTGGAGGATCGGACAGGGGAGGGGGGAATCCCTGCAGGGAGCCGTGACTGACAGTCACGGCTCTCTGCAGGGACATGATTGAGAAGTGAGCGAGTATGTGTTGGCTCACTTCCCGATCTATTGAGCCGACCTTTGACAGTTTCATTGTCGCACCTCGGCTCGAACTATGAGGTTGAGTGAAAGTCACTCACCTCATAGTTCTCCTTTAAGTACACCCACAAGTGTAATATGGTTTCTCCCAACCCCTCCAACTACCACTTTTGCTGGACAGCTTGGTCTGCTACAATAAGTGGGGGAAAAATCGGATCTACTAGCAGTATCAACAGTTAGTAAAACCATGCTATGGGGAAAACAGAAAAACAAAAACCTGCTGGGCTAATGACTGCATTGTTTGTGCTATTTTTCATTCAGCCCATAGTTGCACTAAAGTTAAAAAAAAAAACACGTTTGCATAGTTTTACCAGTGCAATGTAGAAAGTAACCTTCTGTTGAGAAGGTTACGCATATCTTCTCTATTTAACTATACCTGTCTTGTAGCTCCATATGTCAATCTTGTGATACGAATCTTATTGTATGAAATAACTTCATGCCCCTTTGGCAATCTGTGATGAATTACTTGGGCGTTCCAATGTTTGGAAGAGACAATATTTGATGTTTCAAGATGTCTCCGTACAGAGACTGTTCCATCAAGATGAAAATAATCAATCATCAAGGGGTTAAGCATGGTCTATCACAACCCTCTCAGCAACATACTATGTTTATTTACTACCCAGTGTATTTGGTGGATATACAGGGGAACTTCTGCATACGGTTCACTAAGATGCTGATGAAGAAAACCAATGAAGGGAAAAATAAGGTTTCTTTCTATATGAGCTAATAGAAATGTAATAGAAGAACAAAGAACACGACCTCTGTCCCTCTTAAAGTCTCCTGTTGGTAAGTTTCAAACCATAAAATTATTAATTTTACTCTTAATTAAAGTGTGTTTACCTGCTGCATTCATTGCTATGGAATTTGAGCTTGGCCTGTATACATATTCATCCAATATTTTAGACACTAAAATAAACAATATTTAACGAAACATTGCTGAAATTTTTTTTGTTAGTGTATTTTTTTTCCCCATTGGATACGGTGCTGTCACGTGATTGCTGTTCTGCCAAGTATTTTCTTGTTATTTTGCCATGTCAGTAAGTGATCGCAAGTAAAAGATTACAGTGATTTGGTATTATGGTCTCCGAGTTCACAGTTCAGTGCGTATATATTAACTGGCTTTCTCAGTATGGCACTTAGGAAGAAGATAAATCAAATATTGGATATAACATCTACATAAATAAATTGTCCATAACAAGTGGTTTGTAGTCACTGGTAGTTGATCGGAGTGTGTAGCTAAGTAATTAGCTTATAAAGAATGGGTATAACCAGTTCCCAGAGTCAACAAAACTCAAGATATTGTTCATGCTATAACCTGTAGCAAATAGTCAAACATCACTCTGCCTTATTACAGGTGATTGGTTCTGTCTGTCCTTTAACTCTTGCCGTCGGAATTCTTCTTCCAATCTTTGCTTCTCTGTATTTGTGTAGAACGTGGTTTGTATTTCACTTTTCCTGATTTTATCAAAATTGCTGAAATCTGCAACATATTTTCCCTGCTGGGACAAAGAGACAACAGGAACAAACTCATAGCCCCAGTGGATCTCCACTGGCAGATAGGATGTTCTGCTTTGGCAGACTGTGCTGGTAGATTCCACTGTGGCATTAAGAAGAACAACAAGTTCAAAGTCTTTTTGCTTTATGTTTTCAGCAGTTAGATCACTCAGCGGGCTATTCTCATCCAGCACGTGATAAAACATTAATGGCAAAATCAAAAACGGGCTTTCTGAAGAAGAATCTACATGAAAGTTCATGTTGGCCTGCTTTAGCAAGATCTTCTCCCCTTCTTTGGTCTCGTAGGCATGAAGAAGCTTTCCGTAGAGTTGGCATTGTATCAGCAAGCTTTTTCTCATGTTGGCCACCTGTACGACCAAGCACATCTTTCCGTTGTGTTTTGTGATAACGGCCTTGTTGCTGAACTTAATGGTTTCAGCCCTTTTTTTAGGCCTGGCAATTTTGGCAAGGAATGTACCAGTAATGAAAATTTCTATTAAAGTTGTTAGGACCAGTTGGGCCACCAGCAAGAGGATAGCAACAGGGCACTCTTCAGTAATGAAGCGGAACCCATAACCAATTGTGGTCTGCGACTCCAGAGAAAAAAGGAAGGCACCAGTAAAGGAATCAACATTCATTACACATGGAGTGTGGTTAGTAGTTGGGTCAGTGTGGACATCTCCATGAACTAATGCTATGACAAAGTAAATGATTCCAAAAAAGCACCACGTCAGGAAGAAGGTGGCAGCAAACAAGGTCAGCTTATACCTCCATTTCATGTCAATAACAGTGGTCCATAAGTCCTGGAGGTACAGAAAGAAGACACCATCCACTTTGTCGATCTTGACATTGCTATGTCCACTCTTAGATATCACCCTTGGCCTCTCAGACTTCACTCCATTGTGAATCGCATTTTGAACTAGTGGGCAGCCAGAAAAATCGGAGTCAACGGTGTCCATAATCTTCTCCGAAAGAGTGCTAAGGTAGAAATGAAATAGAAATGGTAAGTCCCAAAAATGTTCTCTTATAACTGAGATGCAATGAACATGCACACATTCTGATAGATGCAGTAAAACAGTGACATTTAATTACAGCTCAAAGGAACGACTAATAACTTCAAAATTATTAAGAGTTTTAAGAAATGTCGAAAGGTTCTCATCCTAAGCTAATCTGAATTACTACTGCTGGTAAAAAACACTCAAGTATCTGGGTTCCCAAATAGTCAATATTAACCCCCCAAGTATCAATGGGATTATCCAGGCAGTCAGTAAAATGTCTGGGGGTCACTAAATGAATGGGGGCTCAATATGTGGTTGATAAATGAAGGTCAATAGGGGTCAATTCATATTTTGAGGTCTCTGTAGAGCTGCATGCATGTTCCTACACACAAAGGTGAGATGGCTAGTGGTGACCCAAGGTTGGATGGACAGCTCCAATGAGATCAGACTTAAATTGTCTCTATCGGTGTGTTGTGTCTTTCTCTGTGTGTTGTTACTGGCCACGGCTATCGCTGTGCTTTGCTTTATGTATCTGTGACTTTTCATCCTCCCCTTTCAATGAAGGATATACAAATGTATTCACCTCCTGAACTGAGTGCACCCCCATTTCAAACTTTGTTATAGAGCCATTGAGTACACCTAAATCAGTAGGAGTGGTGCCAAAGAACTGAATGTTGTGCATTTACTAAACATTTTGCATTGGAACAACCATAATGGCAGCTGCTGATACCAAGAGGACATGTTGAAAGTATTTACATTCAGAAATAATATTATTATTATTAGCCACCGCTCCAAGCTCGCTCCTGTGATGGACTACAATCTCAATACAAATTAGTAAACTAAACATGTGATTGTAAGTGTTGTCAGTCCACCCCTGGTCAGCACCAATTCAGAGATGATTTGAAGATCTTCAGCCGAGTGATACACAAAAAAGATACAATTGTGTTAATAGTTAAGATACTTGCATCTATTTTTAAGATTTAATGCCTGAGTTTAGTGTCACTTTAAGATGTTTTTTAGGATGCTATGAACTTGGCTCCTGAGGGTTATGGAAGTGCCTTTCAACTATCCTTGCCCCGTTCTTGTGTCTGAAAAGGAGTCATTGGCCTCATTTTATTTTTATTTTTTTTCCTGAAAGGAAAAAAAAACCAAGCCCCCAAAAAGTAAAATAAAATATGTAAAGCGAAAATACACAATGATCAAATACTCATAAAAAGACAAATTCAAAGAACATCAGATAAAACACACTTCCCTACATATACCCACCCCCCAAAAAAACCTCTCTAACAAAAAAGATTTTTTTTGACTAAGCATCTACATGAGTACAACTGAGAGTTTCTGCTTTCTGCTAAATTTCATTGACATTTATTGTTATTTTACAATAAAACCTATAAAACCTATTTAGTCACAATCACTTCAGTCACCTATCTAGATTCTGCTCCTTTTCAGGGCCCTCCTTAGCATCTTGTCTTGATTTGTATTGTAACTGTAATGTCTTCCTTTACTTGCAAAGAGCTGCACAAACTGTTGACGCTATATAAATCCTGTATGATAAAAATAATATTCAAATACAAATATACTTTCTCTTTGCAACTCAAACTTTCGATCAAATTTGCCTAATTTTTTTTTTTTTTTTTTGCACCATGCTCATTTTTACTGCATTTTGTATGATTATCATCAAAATCCCAACCCATTTCACTACATTTTATAGCTTAATAAGGGGATGCATTACATGCTATGCAGAAGAACCCTCTTCATTTTGCTACTGTGGTGCTGTAACAAAAATGTATCAGTAGAAGACCTATTTTGTTCTGTAATTATATTGTGTAATAATTTCTGTAGTAACCAATCAGTAACCGCTACCTTATTGGGTTAATTCCTGGATCATGCGCTTGTCAAATAAGGAAACCCCATTGGCAATCCAGAACTGGAGATTATTCAAATATCCGCTTAACTAGTTCTTCTAACTTTTTAAAAACATTATCCAGCCCTCTTTTAGGCCAATATGAATGACCGAGGACACAGATAAAGGAACTCAATGCAGAATGAAAGCTGATATAATCGCAACAGAGTAGAGGCGCTTGAGAAAAAGAGCGTAAGATGCCTTCAAGTGGGAAAACCAGCAAGAAATGCAGTTCTAATAGAAAAAACTGTTGTTTAACAATCTTTTTTTAGTCATACAATGTAGCCAGACGAGACCTGCAACGTGTAGATCACCCGTGGCATCCATAACTCGTGGTCTTGTACAAGCCGGTTTTGTCAGGGTCAGTAGAAAAACAGGTATTCATGGTAATGTGAGTGTGTTCAGTGTTGCCTTAAGGGAAGATGTATGATACATTTAGATACAGATCTGACTACATAAAACAGATCGTAATTATAATCACTGACTCAAAAAAGAAAATGAAAGACAAAAAAAAAAATTGTTTTTACTCTCATTTCAAGGATTATATATATATA